CGACGCTGTATTTCCAAATGAATGAACGAATATCTCCGTGTCCATATGCGTTAATGGAATGATCGCATGCTGTCAGGTCGTTCTGTGCAGGATAAATAATCGAACCGAGAGATTTAAGTGATATAGAGTCACAGTTCCCAATATAAAATAATTCCTTTTAATCGCTATAATTCTACGAGATTCTGTTATACAGAGAAAAAGCGCGAGAAAAATTCTTTATCACGCTACAATATAACCGAGGAAGACCTTTTCTTCAAAAAAAAGGGGACGATGATGAAGACGTGATGTGATTCACACAGACTGATTAAATTGTATTTATCAATTAAATCTTTTTGTTCGTAAAAAAAGCAATGTCAAAGGTGCGTTTATTCGATTATAATAGAGTGCGAATCGAAGCGTGAGTCGAGTGAAAACGATTGGAAATATCTAAACAAGGCACAAGACTGTTATTCGAAAAATGGATGGTCCGTGAAAGTTCGTGCATGCAAAAGGTAAGTCTTTTAATCTATTCTCCGGGTAGTTTTTTTTTTTTCGTAATATCTTCGTAGAATAGATCGCTTCTACAACCAAAGATAGACGGGAGCGACTTGTATTCGCATTCTGTATCACCATTATCGTGTCACCCTCGTCGTATCGTAGCTCAAGCGACAATTAGAATTGTGAGTATCAACGCATATCGCATATACGCGCTTGTATATTAATTTAATCAGCGTGCCATTCCATCTTGAGAAATATCGCGCTCTTCGTGTTTCGTGATAGCCATAGTAACGATAATAAGTGATAACAATAATAAGTAGGATGTTTGCAACGGCGGCAGTAATGATGATGGCAATAATATTAATCATAATTAAATGAGTAATTATCGTAATCATAACGTGATGTTTGTTAATATCAGATAATCAACATTGTAATGTATATGTATACACGTCTGTATACAGGGTATCCCGGAATTATCGAGACTCCTCATCCAGAAATTCTTTGGTCGATTTAGATTCGTTTTTTTCTTTATAAACAGAAAGGTTGTGACATTGATATTTTACGAATTATACAAGATTCGATCGAAAGTGAAAGAGTTTGAAAATTTTCATCTATGAAAAGTTGTAGAAGGAATCCATAGATGAAAGGAGCGACGATAGTTCCGAGCTATCCTGTATATATTGTAGTGTTCCTTTTTTATGTATATATGTATATTTATATATATTCATATTTATAATTATATAATATGTATTATTTATAATCGTGTGTGTGTATATTATATTATATATTTCATTATTATTTAACACATTCTTTTGTACAAGTAAATTAATTAAGAATAAGTACAACTTGGTAGCAAAGAGAGATAGAATTATTATTCACTGTATATTTTATATCGTAGTGAGAAGAGAGAGATATATATCTTATTTCATTTTTATTATAATATTCTTTCATTACCTTTATTATGTTTCAGACCGTAATGCTGACACGGTGCCGCCATTCGGCTTCCGAAGATGCTTCTCTGCTTCGAATCTCTCATCTTTTTCTCCCTTTTCCGATACCCGATATGATTAGGCTTGCGATCTTCCGCGCTGCTCGTCGACGCTAATTCAGTACGCGAAGCTCGCTAGGCGCGACGTCTCGATTTCTAGAGAAGAGGTAGAAAAAACAGCGAAAACACGACGATAAAATCCCGCGACACGATCGCGAGAGCGATTATTACTATAAATATTATACGAGAGACGAGAGTAAGCCGTTCTCGATTCTGATTATCTTCGGGACGTCACGTGCGAGAGCGCGATGAACGCGCGACAGCGCGAACGATCGAAGCGGAAGCGTCTCGACGATCGCATTTTTACACGAAACGATTATTCTAGCTTCGTAGAATCGTCTCTCTATCCGAAATAAGTAACTCGCAAAAATGTAATACCCGTGAAACTTCCGGCACTTCGTCATTTTTGCAATACGATTCTCCGATATTTGTCTCACGCTCGGCCGTTCTGTTCCGCTGTCGCCTATCGACGGCGAGGATCCATTTTCGGCGCCAGATATATAAATAAAGCGCGGTTTTCTATTCTTACAGCTTATTACGACAAGAGCCGGAGCACACGTTAAAAAATAATAGAATAAACATTCTTACACATGCGTGATGCAGAGTGCTATTTCTTTCAAACGCGTGGTCCTTTTCTTTAATTCGTATTAGCGTAATTTCTTCAGCACCATTATGACTTACTATCGGATTTTAATTTCGAGCCCATTGGCCGAGTTCACGCCCGGGTGGCGCATTACGATCGCCTCATCGGCGTATCCGTGATCACTTCGACTTGCACGGCTCTTTCTAGCAAATCTTGTGCGACTAGTTGGGACAAGAGATATGCATCACATGTCTAAAACGAGCGTACGTGTCGTATATACATGTAATATGTGTTATGGATTTCTCGTTCATACGATCGAGCCTCTTCAAGGGATTGTTGGCGTCTCGTTTTTTATATACGTAGTTTTATATTCACCCATCTATGATATCACAAAATATACGTGTAACGAAACGGAAGTTCATAGAGATCACATGTAATAAAGACGACAATATATTCGAGTCCGATACTATGTTATGTAATATACGCGAGATTCTTGATACTGTAATCGATGGCGTTTAACAAAGGACGTGATAATTACTATTGAGACCAACTAAATCTGACGATCGTTATTTAATGTAACGCGATTCATCATGATAACTTAATAGATAACGAATATCTTGCGTGTTCCCTCAGTATGACCGTGCCGTGCGCAATTCCGGAAAATCGGGATACAACGAAAACGAGATATTTTCTTCCATATTGCACGAGAATGTCGAATGAATCCTCGGGGCAGAACGGCCAAGATAGATTATATTCGTAATGAGATTATGTTCGTAATTGAAAACGATGCGCACGCTCGACATACATTTCTTTCGCGCGTTAATTATACCGTGCGACTATGACGAACGTGTGCACGCGCGGCAGCGAAAAACACGGTATTCGGATTACATAATGAGAATAATTAATAATATAATGATGATAATAATAATAATTAATTATAATATATAATATATATGTAAATTAATTATATATATATAATTTACGACTTAGCCCTAGCTCGACTTAATATTTAAGTAACCCCACCCCGTAGCGCGAGGGATGCGTCATCCAGGGCGGACACATCTTAAGAGCCTAGTAAAATCCTAAAACCGGAAGCTCCGCCGTGACGACAGGCCAGCTGCCTTTTTTGTTTCTTTGGCGGAGACCGCTCGTCCTCATTCTCTCTTTCTCTTTCTCTCCCTCTCATTCTCTCTCTTTCACACTGTACGATATCTTTCATTAGACAAACGTAACCGCGCGCGCGATCCGTTCCCATCTTTCTTTCTCGCTTCTTCGCGTCGAAAAAAGAAAAGAGAGAAATAATGCCCGGGAGAGGAAAGGGATATACTCTCTCGTGCATAAACATTCGATCCGAGGTTGATTCGTAAACGGATCTATCTAAAAGATATATCGCTCTAAAGTTCCGCTCCTCGTCGATTCGTGCAGACGTGCACGTATGTACATCAAATAGATTACCCGTGAGGAACACGCGGATAATGGATATTAGTGGATGCTGGGAAGAAAAGAGAGAAAGAGAGAAAGGAGAAGAGAGAGTTAGAGAGCAAGAAATTGCGAAAGCCAGAGTAAGCGAGAACGAGAAGTGAGTACAAGGGATAATCGTATGAACGATCGAGAAAGAGATTGGAGAACATCACGCGCGTACGGCTCATTGCAGAAGGAATTATCGCTAACATTCCCGTTCTTTCTATTCGCGAATATATAGTGTACGCGAAAAAAAAACAGAGGCAGATCCTCGAAGAAGAGAAGTCCCGCTGAAACGCTCGGTCGGATGTATTCCGATAGATCGTGCGGTTCCTTTTACTTCGGCTGACTTGCTTTCTTCCGCTGCGCGCGCACCGGGACCGATGACAATGCTCGTTGGAAACTGCATCGACGAAAAACCGCTTTCGCATCATGTGTCTGTCCGTCCGTTCATCCGTTTGTTTGTTCCTGATCTTCCTTCTTTGCGATGGCTCCTTCTTCTAACTCCTCGATGGACAGCGCACTGGTTGTAACAACCGGGGGAGGGAAGGGAGAGACGAGCAATGGTTTGCAAATGTTCGGTGGTGACGATGATAGCGCCAGGATCTTAGGACCCGTCCACGCCATCTAAAAAAAATTCATCTCTCATTAATACGTTTACATAAAGCTCACGCTCTTATCTTTAATCTTCTCGCAATGGCAAATAATCGAATAAAATGCTATTCCATCTTAAAACCTATATTAATTTTTTTATAGATTTAAAATATATCACAATATTATAAACATAAAGTAACATATCTAGATTATTATATTTTAAATTCATGTCGTAATAAAGGGTTTTCGTATGCAATGGTTCTTCATAGCAAAAATATTGAAGTTGTTAAAAATGTTTTTATTGATTAACTAGTACATGGATAAATCAATATTATCATCTGGATGATCAGCGTCAAATATCTCAAGAAAATTTTACTGAGAACAAAGGCACAAGCGAGGTTTTCCCTCTGTCTCTCGACATTTAGGAGATCTGCGGATGGCTTGGACGCGTACCTTGATTGGACGAGTGTGGGGCTCACGATTGCGGTTGCGGCGTGTTGTGGTCCCGCTTGTCTCCCGCAGGAGGCGGCGGCTTTGTCACGGGTTTCTCCTCGTTGACCGGCGTGGGCGGCGCGTCCTTCCTCGGTGGCATTCTTTCATTTATGGCGTCCAAGCCCTTGGCCTCGGCGAACGAAGTAATTTTGTGATTCGGCGAGAAGCCTTGGAGAGCTGAATGTAGGATGGATGAAAAAGAAAAACGTACAATATCAGAAGATGGGATATAAGAGGCCTCTGCACAAGGCCAAGATTCTCTTGAATATCTCGCAATTACATTACAATATCATGATATTATTGACCCTATTGTCCGCGAATAACAATAATCGAAGAATTCCGTGTTCCAACTTTTTGATAGATGCTGCATTATAGGATGATTAAGAACAGTTCATTGCATTCTCTTAAATTTGAAGCTAAATTACGATTTTTCTCAATGTCGTTATCAAAACGATATCTCATAGAATTCTTACCGTTTTTCAGAGAAGTCTTGCCGCCAGATAATGCACCAAGCGGTAAAGCTCCAGTCGGCGTCAAACCCTTCAACTGCAGCACGCTCTCGCTTTCCTCTCTGTGAAATACAAAAATTGAAATTACATTATAAAATATTAAGAATATTATATATATTCTTTTTTATACTAATTATATATTATAATAATTATATCATAAAAAGAATTTCTCTGTTATAAGTAATATTGAAATTGTAAGTTATTTTTTTCTTAATGCGCGCTATTCTATCGCTATTTTTAATTCGTAGAAAAAATCTATAATTTTGTCATTCAGAATTCTGGATTATATTATTCATATATATTATCCATCGAGACAACGTTCTCTTATATGTATATTAAAATGAAGATTTTTATATACATGAAGGAAGATTATCCCATTACATTTACTAACCTCAGGACGGAGAAGACACGCGCCATTTTACCGATGGCTCTAATCTTGTTTCTGATGACTTCTTTACGTAGATTAGCTGCTGCACCTATAAATACCAGAGACACATCTTATGGCATTCGCATGATGATGAAATACTAGCGTCTAGATCATCATGTGACGATCAACGTAGCGAAAACTATATCAGTGATATCCTTTTGATTCGACAATTTATAATAAGTCCTTTAAATAAAATTGATCGTTAATTAAAAATAAAAGAGAGCAAACCGACAACTACCGTAATCTTTTGTAAATTTTAAATTGTTTAGACAAAAAAGAAGGTCATATTATATAAGTCGTGTTAAAAGATACTTTTGCACCAAGATTAAAATCCATCTATTTACAATGAACTTTAATTAGGATGGCTTAATACGGTTTCGTCACATCGTCGTCACCGATCTGCCTCGCGTTTGTCGTCGCGTTTGCAAATCACTTGCGATGATTCTCGCGGTCGCACGTTAACTACTACGTTATCCATAACTACAGAGCTTACCGGGGGCATTACGTTATTAATAATCACTCGTTATTCTCATCTGGTCACGCCAAGACAACAACGCCAAACTACAGGCAAGAAGTCTGCGCGCGTCACGGACGGAGTCGTGTAAAGCGATCGAGTAATAAAAAAGAAAAAAAAAAGTTCGCGTGACATTTGTCGCGTTCGCAAAGAGAATACGCATTCTTCACGATATAAAAAAAAGAAAAAGTGTCAATTCATCAACTGGCGAGAAAAACAGAACGCGAAGAATACGTACGATTGCGAACGCGCGTATACTAAAAGCTGCATAAAAAACGTGCGCAAATATAGCGTGTAAATTTCTCGCAAAAACATACTACAATGTGTGCATGTGCGTGTGTATATTTAAACGCATATCAAGATAAATTCGATGCGAGAGAAAAGAAGCATGCACATGCTGAATAAGCGCGAGAAAACGTACGAACCATCGGTCACTATAATACAAACTCTTATCGTCACCACTTCCCCTTGGCAATCACTTGCTACTTCGAGGCTCATTGTCAGCGCGAAGGAGCTGAGAAAATCGTTTATCTCGCGGCGATTCCGACTAAATCAACACGAGTTAAAGCTTACGGTTGTTGCATTAGGTGACAATCGCTTTAATCCCTACGATATTCCCACCGTATATTGATTATCCCGCGTTCCAAGATTCTCTTTCAAGCAAGCAGGAACTAGGAGCGCTGGATCTATTCGTGGAAATCCACATTAAAAAGTTTACGATATTTGGCGCGGCGGCAACTCCTTTGCACCGAGCTGTCGATTCGTCTGTGTTTGTTCGTTAATTGACACAGCGGTCGAGCATGCTGCTCGATCGATTGTATCACGGTACCTTAGGGGGAACGAGGAGAGATTCGTTCGCAGCATCGCTAAAATCTTCCATTAGCGACAGAGAAAAGTGCAAAGAAGATAGGATTTGCTTTTTCTACTTCTTTTTTTTTTTTTGTCAGAGCACTAAAGTAGCATTCTCGTTACTCTTGTTACGCGTTAAAAAGGTTCATCGAAACTGGCAGAAGATAATATAGCATTTCTATGCGGCAGATCTACATTATTTGTATCCTAATCGCACGTGTTTTTATCCGTCCAACGCCTGTGCGTAAATTTTATCTCGTTCGGCGCCGAAAAATCCGTTTCGCCTTGTATTCCCGGTTAAATCGAACAATCGTTGGAAAAAAAATTCCGTGCCAAAAATATCGACGTCGTTTCTCGTCGCGCGTCGTCGAAAAACACACATCGAGGTATTCGCGTACCGCGCGGTTCCGGCTTCCTAATGATTTACGGCAGAGATCTGCGATCCTTAGACCGCTGTCACGATAACGTATCGCGTGATTTGTCAGTTCGCACAGGGGGATACGAAATTACAATCTTTCCTGTCGTTCGCGAATCTCTCTCTGGCCGTGCGACGGGCATTTTGTTTTCGGGAATAGCGGGCCATCCGAAACGCGGATCGATGGACGTCACGGAGGGGACAAAGATTACCGAAGGGAAAG